CCTATAAATGGGGTGGGTGGGGCCACCACAACTGACTGGAGGGAGCAGGCACAACCTGCGGCTGGGGTTGGCGGGGGCAGGCATGACACATGGGTAGGGTGGGGTCCCCCACAGTGAACCTACATGCCACCCCTCATGCGCCACCCCCCACTGGGATTTTCCTGCTTGGCTCTGGCAGCAATGAATGCTAATAAAAGTGGCTGCACACCAAGTGGCTTGTGGGATGGGGGTTGAGAGGGCTGGCTGGTTGGTGGGGAGCAAGGAGCTAGGGGGGGCAAAAGATAGCTGAGTGGGGTGTGTGTGAAAAGAGCAGCCCTGGGGCTGGGGCCAGGGGCTGGGTTTTCCCAGGGAAAGTGTACAGAAGTTCCATGCACCAGTTTGACCTAAATAGAATAAGTGTGAAACCACATAGATCCAAATTTATCTTAAAATGGGTTCTGCAATTTTTAGACCAGTTTGTGTGAATGGAACTTCTGTACAGTTACAGGTTTAGACTGGGTGCTGTCACTGAGACTGGGTCTGTAAGTGTAAGGTCAGAACTGGGACAAGTTAAGTTTAAATTGGGTGGCCATTCTGAATCTGATTTAACCCCCCCCAAATGGCTGTACTTAGCCAAAGTGTTGTTAGTGCAGTAGTATAACAAACAGGGAGGCAATCGGGATACAAGCCCCAGGCACTGAGTTAAATGGCATGCCAGTGACAGGAGTTAGGGTGGCACTGTGAGGGCACAGGAGTAGTGATGGAACTTGGGGAGGGGGCAGGAGTAATGGCAGCACCTGAGGAGGGAATGGGGTAACTCAAGGATTTGATTGCAGGGAGTCAGGGAGCCCAAGATCCCACCTGTAGGAGACATCACTACTGTGGGGAAGGTTCTGCCAAAATCAGTGTTGTGATATCCCAGTGGTGACAGGATTTTGCAGTGGCAGCTATAGAGGGAGGTGAGAGGACTCCTGTATTAACCTGGCTGCTGACACTGCTCTGACAGACTTAGTATGTTTCATTGTGGGGAGGCATGAGGCTGATGATGGGACTGTGGTACTATGGTTTGTGTCTGGCATGCACATCTTACCAGTTACACTTCTGTGTTAGTGCATAAATAGGGTTACAGGAAATAGACCTTCATTGTACATGTATGCAATACAAGTGAGCACAGGTTTGATTCTTTTCATGTTTTAAAATTCATTTGATCGTGCTTTTCAACTGGTGAGTAAATAGTGAATGCTTTCTCCTAACACAACCATTAAATATAAAATAAAGGTCTTTTTTATGTTTATGGAATAGATAGAAACTTGTGCCAAACCACAATGCCGTATACTTTACAAAAATATTTTGTTTACCTCTCAAGTTGCACTGGTTTTCAACAGTTTGTCTGAAACCCTTAATTACATTTTGGAGAGAGGCACATTCTAAAAAAAAAAAAAAAAAAAGATAAAACTTCATTATTTGTCAAGAAATTTTTTTCACTATTTTCATTTTAGAATTCATTGATTAGTTACAAGCAACAATATATATTTTTAAAGAAGCACTGATCTTTTGTTACCATGAATTGTAACCTAAGAAAAAAGATGCACACATTACCCCCAATGACCCCCAACAGCTGCGGAGCACCCCTGCTGACCCCCAATACAGCCAGAGGTAAATGGGGCCCATGGTGGGAGAGGACTAGCTCAGCTCAGCTGTGGGGAGGCAGCTGAGAGGAGCCAAGGAGGGTCTCACCCTGCCCCGGCTCCTACTTTGCCCAGCCCCCCAGGGACCCACACAACTGGAGTCTTGCAAACAAGCCCCACAAACAGGCATGCCTGTCTGCCAGGTGTGCGAATTAGTGTGGGAGTTTGTGTAGGAGGGTGAGCGGGAGGGCCCAAGGTCCTGCCAGCGAGCCCTAAGGAAGGCAGTTCCATTAGCAGCCGGCCTCCCAGTGGCACGATGTGGATGGGCACCTGCTGCACCCTGAGGGCCCCCTTGGAGTCTGCGGTATCCCCCTGTGGCATCTCAGAGGCCTCCACCTAGACAGAACCCATAGTTCCGGGCTCCACACAGATGCAGCCTTTGGCTCTCAGCTGTGGGGGCTGCCTGGCATGTTTCCAGGCTCATGGGGCTGGGAACACAGCCACCTCCCATTGCAGGGTTTGCTCGACTTTGGAGTCTCTGTGGCATCAGATTGAGGAGCTCCAGGCTCCAGAGACTGTGAGCCATCAGGGATGGTGAGCAGGAGATCGAGTCCTACTGCCAGGCCCTTCACCCCTTGGAGACGGAGGGTAGACCAAGGTTACTCTCCAGGGGATCTCCCGTACTGTCCAGCCAGGGGGTTGGACCAAGGTGGTGAAGGGCCCCAAGGCCCGCAACAGCAAGGTCACCCTCCCCTCTGGGGCTTTGCAACAGCTATGAACCTCTTGCAGCCCCAGTAGAGCCTGTGGAAATGCCAGCTCCTGCAGGCAAGGGAGGATCACCCACCCCTACTCTCCCTAAGACGAAACACAGAGTGCTCTTCGTGAGAGACTCTCTCCAGACAGGGACTGAGGGAGCAATCTGTTGCCCTGAACCCGTAACATGGGAGGTCTGCTACTTTCTGGGGGTCCACATCTGGGACATAGCCGAGAGGATTCCAAAGATTCTGTAGCCCTCTGACCACTATCCTACGCTCCTCATCCATGTGGGCACAAATGATACGGCTCAGAGCACCCCCAGCTGGGTCATGAGAGACTACTGGACTCTGGGAGTCTGGCTGCAGGTGGTCTTTTCCTCGCTCCTCCCAGTTGTGGGTCATGGGCTCAGGAGGGAGAGATGGGTTGAGGTAGTTAACCAGAGACTGCAGTGTTGGTGTCATCATGAAGGCTTTGGCTTCCACGATCACAGTCCGCTCTTTAGTGAGAGAGGCGGCCTTCACCTCAATCCACTGGGGAAGACGCTTTTCTCAGCTAGACTTGCTGACCTGCTTGAGTGGGCTTTAAACTGAGCACACAGGGGGACAAAAGGAGTAGCACCACTGCAAGCCCACTGGGCAGTTTTTGTAAACCCAGCAGGCTAAGGCACTCAAAGGAACCCAGCCCTATCCCCACCCCAGAGCGATCTGTAAGAAAGGCAAGGGCCCCCAATGGGACACTTAAGTGCCTATACGCTAATGCCGGGAGCCTAAGGAACAAACAGAAGGAACTGGTCCTCCTGCTCAACCAAAAGGATTACGATCTCATAGGGATAATGGAGACCTGGTGGGACTCCACCTATCACTGGGCCACAGGTATAGGTGGCTATATGTTATACAATAGAGATCGTGTGGACAAAAGGGGTGGGGGGTAGCTCTCTATGTCAAGGAAACCTATGCATCCCTGAAAGCTAACATTGGCATCCAGGGCGGACGACTGGAGACTCTATGGGTCAAATCCATGGTGAACAAGGCACAGGGGATACAGTGGTGGGAGTCTACTACAGACTGCCTAGCCAGGATCAAGAGCTTGACCAGGAATTCACCAGGGAACAAGCTGAGACTGCATGCTCCCGGTACATGGTTGTCATGGGAGATTTCAACTACCCTGACATCTCGTGGGAAGAGCACTTGACCACATCCGAATGGTTGCAAAGCTTCCTCGTGTGTGTGGATCAGCTCTATCTGACTCAAGAAGTCTATGGACTGATGAGAGGCAAAGCACTTCTCAACCTGGTACTGGCAATGGGGGATGACTTAATCAGCAACCTAACGATTGAAGGGAAGCTGGGAGACAGCGACCATGAGCTGATCACCTTTACCATCCGCTGTAAAGCAGGCAAGTCAGTCAGCAAAGCAGAAGTCCTTGACTTCAGGAAAGCTGACTTTGACAAGCTCAGGTGGCTTCTTGGCAAAGTCCTAAGGGACCATGATCCAAAGGAGAAGGGAGTTCAGGACAAGTGGTTGCTCCTCAAGGGAGCGATCCTGAAAGCACAAGCAATGTCTGTTCCATCTTGGAGGAAAGGCAGCAAAAGGGCTCAGCAGCCCCCTTGGCTCTGCAGGAAACTAGTAGACCTCATGCATCTAAAAAGAAAGGCTTATAAAGGATGGAAGGCTGGATCCAGTACTCTGCACTGGTCCGGACCTGTAGGGAGTGAACCAGGAAAGCCAAGGCTGCGACTGAACTCCAACTGGCTACATGTATCAAGGACAATAAAAAGTCCTTTTTTGGTATGTGGGGAGCCAGAGGAAAAGCAAGGGTAACACTGGACCCCTCCTAAACCATATGGGTCAATTGACAACCAACACCCAGGAAAAAGCCAACGTGCTCAATGGGTATTTTGCATTGGTTTTTCACCAGCCCCAAGGGAAAAACTGAACCACTGCTCAGTACAGGATGGGATGGCCAGGGCAAGGCAGAACTACTACCCTTCATCAATGTTGACCATGTGAAGGAACACCTTGAGAGGCTGGACACCTTCAAGTCAGTTGGCTCAGATAGCTTACACCCCAGGGTACTTTAGGATGTGGCAAGCATCATAAGTTGGCCACCAGCACAGATCTTTGAGAGCTCATGGCTCTCAGGCAAAGTGCCCAAGGATTGGAAGAAGACCAATGTGGTGCCTATCTTCAAGAAAGGGAGGAAAGTAGATCTGGGGAATGCAGGCCCATCAGCCTGACCTCCATCCCCAGGAAAATCTTGGAGAAAATCATCAAAGAGACCATTCTTGACAACTAGCTGAAGGCAACTTCTTGAGGGATAGCCAGCATGGATTTGTTGTGGGTAGGTCTTGCCTGACCAATCTCATCTCCTTCATAGTTTCATCGTTAGTAAGGTCAGAAGGGACCTGAGCAGATCATCAAGTCTGACCCCCTGCCCTGGCAGGAAAGAGTACTGGGGTCAAACGACCCCAGCAAGGTGTTTATCTAGCCTCCTCTTAAAGACCCCCAGGGTAGGAGCCAGCACCACTTCTCTTGGAAGTTGGTTCCAGACCCTAGCCGCCCTGACCGTGAAGTAGCGCATCCTGACATATCACCTGGACAAGGGAGAAGAGATTGATGTCATATATCTTGACTTTAAAAAAGCTTTCGATCTGGTATCCCATGATCGTCTTATAGAAAAACTAGCCAACTGTGGTCTTGGCTACATCACACTTCGCTAGTTGCGGAACTGGCTTTGAGGTTGGACCCAGAGAGTGGTAGTTGATGGAAGTCAATTATTGTGGTGCACTGTGACTAGTGGGGTCCCCCAAGGCCATATCTTCATTTCAACATCTTTTCAACTTCTTTTCAACATCTTCATTAATGATGTGGACATTGGTGTCAGAAGTGGACTGCCTAAGTTCGCTGATGACACCAAACTTTGGGGCACATTCACACCCAAGGACAGGTTGGTGATCCAGGCTGACCTTGACAGGCTTGGAAAATGGGCAGATGAAAACCTGATGGCCTTCAACTCCAACAAATGCAAGGTACTCCACCTTGGGAAGAAAAACCTGCGGCATGTTTATAGGCTTGGCAGTGCTACGCTTGCTAGCACCATGGCTGAAAGGGACTTGGGGATCATGATTGACCTCAAGATGAATATGAGCCACCAATGTGATGTTGCAGCCAGAAAAGCAAGCAATACTCTAGCTTGCATCCTTAGATGCTTCTCTAGCAAATCCCAGGATGTCATCCTCCCGCTGTACTCTGCCTTGGTGAGGCTACAGCTGGAGTACTGTATCCAACTCTGGGCTCCACAATTTAAAAAAGATGTGGAGAAGCTTGAGAGAGTCCAGAGGAGAGCCATGCTCATGATCATAAGGCAGGAAACCAGGCCTTATGACGAGAGGCTGAGAGCCATGGGACTCTTCAGCTTGGAAAAGCACAGGCTCAGGGGAGACCTGGTGGCTGCCTATAAGTATATAAGGGGTGGTGTCCATCAGGATCTGGGGGAACACCTGTTCACCAGAGTGCCCCATGGGATGACAAGGTCAAATGGCACAAACTTCTCCAAGACTGTTTCAGGCTGGACATAAGGAAGAACTTCTTTACAGTCTGAGCCCCCAAAACCTGGAACAGACTGCTGCCAGAGGTGGTGCAAGCACCTACTCTGGATTCCTTTTAAGAGGCAATTGGATGTTTATGTTGCTGGGATCCTGTGACCCCAGATGACTTCCTGCCCCTGGGGCGGGGGGCTGGACTTGCTGATCTTCCGAGGTTCCTTCCAGCCCTAATGTCTATGAAATCTATGAAATCTATAATTTAAATATTGCTGTTTTAATTATTTATAGCCATTTCAATATTCAGCCATATGATTTTCAAACATACAAACTAGGCCTATGCGAAGTGGCTAGTATTTACTTCATATTCGGATTCAACCAATTCGGGGGGCAGTGATTCGATTTGGTGATTCGAATCACTGTCCCGAATCAATTCGGCTGAATCTGATTTGTATATTTGGCCACCACAGAATTGGCTGAATCTCCGAATTGGCCCCATCCCCAGCCCACTCTCAATGGATGCCCCGGCCCGCTCTCCCAACTACTGGCTCTTAAAAAAAAAAAAAATGCTCCCCACACTCACCAGCTGCTACCAGGCAGGGGATGATCCCTGCTGCCCCCCACTACATCATGCAACATGGAGGGCTCTGCCATGAGCCCCCTGACCCTCACCCACTCTCTCAAACCCCCCCCCCCCAATGGCTGCTCTCCCTGCCCCAGCTCCTGGCTCTTTAAAAAAAAAGCCCTGACTCGCTGGCTCCTGCTAGGTGGGAGGTGATCCCCACTGCCCCGCACTGCATGGGGGGTTCTGCCATGAGCCCCTAGAAGCCCCAAGGCTGTTGCAGCAGCTAGTGAGTCTGGACATTATTGCTATAGCCTGCGTTAAGCAGCAGTGAGGTTCTACAGCCACCTACTGCCAGCTGTTGATAGCTGGCTAGGAAGAGACTGAGTCAGACAGGTTTTTTTGGGTCTACAGTCCCTAGTAGGGGGGCCAGGTCCCTGTGAACAGAACCAAATTGGACAATCTTAAACTACTGAGCAGAAACCACTTTGCTCAGTGGACAGCCTGTTGACCAGGACCATTGCAGCCACAGGTGGCCAAGAATATCGTTGTGGTGTGGTACAGGTGAGGGTGCAGGGAAAGGAAGATCCCCAAGAAGACCCTACAGCAGGGCACAAGGACTGAGTCTGTTCATACATTCCAACTCCTGAATAACTAAACATTCTACTGAGTCATGGCAGGTGAGAAAGAGAGCATGCAGTCCATCAGAATTTATGGATAGGCACATCCCTGTGTGACCCCCCAAGACAAGTATATGCTATAAGCTGATTTCTTTTTTCCTTTTCCCTTTTTAAACTTTTAGCAATGTCCAGTTGTTTTTCAGAATAACATTAGAGAATATACATTTTTTGACCACATTAAAAAAATCTTGCAACTCTTTTCACCAAAAAATTGTAGCCTTAGAGCAAATTTGAAATTTAACAGGAAAATGGGGGTTGCCTTTGTAGGATCTAACTTTTGCCATCCCTGTGAAAATGTGCCCAATTCTGGTCAAATTATCAGCCTCTGAAAACTTCCATTTGCATATGCCTGGGGAAAAGATTTTGGGAGATTCCTTCTACACTGGCATAATTTATGCCAATGAGCTATAAAGGCTGAACTTTCCTTGAAGTTGCCCCTCCATGGAGCTAAAAGTCTGTTATAACATTGGGAACAGGAACTGATGGCATTGGGACTGTTTGCCC